AGGGTATGGGGTCATTGATAAGCTGAAATTGGCCCTAACTACAACACCAGTACTAGCTCTTCCAAATTTCTCTCTGACCTTTGTGGTAGAAACAGATGCTTGTAACATAGGCATTGGAGTTGTACTGATGCAGCAAGGCTAACCAATTTCCTATCTCAATAAAGGACTGTCTTGTCTTCACAGCACCAATCATAATCAGTTTATGACAAAGAACTGTTAGCACTGGTCATGCCAGTAAACAAGTGATCCCAGTACCGACAGTGAAACCTTTCATTGTTAAGATAGACCAAAAAGCTCTTAAGTTCTTGCTAAACCAGAAGCTACACATAGGCAATCAGCATAAATGGATCACCAAGTTAATGCAATATATATGACTTTGAGATCGAATACAAAAAGGAGGAAAACAAAGCTGCAGATGCACTCTCTAGACTTTCCTTGATAGAGTTGTCATCCATGACACTATCAACTGTGAAGAACAATTTGTTAGAGGCGATAATGAAAAGCTGGGAGCTAGATGATGAATTGAAAGCAACAATCCAAACTCTCAATAACAAGGGCTCTAATGAGATGGGATACACTTTCATACATGAATAATTAAGAAAGAATGGTAAGCTAGTGATAGGACCTGACCTACCACTAAGAAAAGAAATCTTACAGTTATGGCATAATTCAACCAGCGAAGGGCATTCAGGGGTGTACAACACTTACAAGAGGATATCCTCTCTATTCTATTGCAAAGGAATGAAAGAAGAAATCTAAGAGTTTGTGAAAAATTGTGATATTTGTCAGAGGCACAAGTATGACAATGCCCCTTACCCAGGGTTGATACAGCCTCTTAGAATACCTGATGCAGCTTGGAGTAGCATAAGCATGGACTTCATTGAAGGGCTACCTAAATCTAAAGGAAAATCAGTCATATGGGTGGTGGTGGATAGGCTTACCAAGTATGTCCATTTATAGGTATATCTCACCCTTATTCTGCAAATGAGCTGGCCAAGATATTCATGGAGCAGATCTACAGATTACATGGGTTGCCAGAAGATATCATAAGTAATAGAGATCTTGTGTTTATAAGTAAACTTTGGCAAGAATTGTTTGCAATGTTAGGAGTATGGCTCAATACCTCAACTGCATACTACCCTCAAAGAGATGGCCAAACTGAGGTAGTTAATAGGTGTGTGGAGACTTATTTGAGATGCTTGTATTCTGATTCTCAAAAGGACTGGATGCACTATTTGGGGGCAGTTGAATAGTGGTACAACACTACATTTCACTCCTCCATACAATACACACTATATGAAGCATTATATGGCCGGTCAACCTCCTCTCTTGCACTTGTCTTATGCTGCTGGAGATTCAATCATGGATTAGGTGGATAGAAGCCTACTCGCTAAGGAGTTCAAGGTGCAGATTCTAAAATATCACCTTAAAAGGGCTCAACGGATAATGGTGAATCAAGCCAATAAACATAGATGAGATAGACAATTCAATTAGGGTGATTAAGTGTATGTTAAAATCCAACCCTATAGGCAGATCACTATGCCAGGAGGACAATTTTCTAAACTTTATGCTAAATATTATGGACCCTATTAGATTCTATAGAAAGTAGGAAATGTTACCTACAAACTTTCTCTTCCTTCCCAGCTGCTACTGCACCCAACGTTCCATGTCTCTCAACTCAAGAAATGCCATGAGCTACCAGAAACAACATCCCATCCTCCCATAGTTGAATTGTTAAGTCCTTACTATCCTTAGCCACACAAAATTTTGGAGAGGCGCATGATCCAAAAAGTAAACAAGGCTGTGGCTCAGGTTCTAGTCCAGTGGGACCAGTTGCCACCTGATCGAGTTACATAGGAAGATTACTCAACCTTGAAGACACGCTTTCCTCTTTTCCTTCCTTGAGGACAGGGAAGTTCTTAACGGAGGGGAACTAATGCAATTTAGAAGAGGGTCAGCTTGCGATGTTAGTACGTGAGGTATTAAAGGTTGTACGTAGCCGTTAGAATCAGTTAAGTGATGGGTAGAGTTAAGTTTATTAGCTGAGCAGTTAAGTCCCTTCTAGGTTTCTTATGTAAGTTTGAGTAATTGCAATTAGGTTTATAGATTTACGTTATTACTACACACTTTTAGTCCTGTCAGAGTTAGTTACATAGTTTTGTCTGGTAGTGGATAGTGGAGGCTATATGTATTCATCATTGAGTTATCAGAAGGCATCAATTGATAACCAATTTTAATTTTGACCTAATTTCTTTTTCCTTAGCTTTTTATCTCTTCCTTTTTCACTGTTTTATTGTCACCGGCATCATATTTTTATCCCTATGAAAAGGTGGAATAAGAATCTCAAGATAATTAATGTTGGGATAACTTGTTTCCCAACCAAACAACTCATAGTGTTTAGTACTAATGTTTATAAAAATTGTCTCTAAATGAGTATATATATAGCAATCATTTTCATCTTCTATGCTAATTGAAGTTCTGTTATGAGTCATGTTAAGATAATAGGGTGATTTATGAGAGTGAAAAATCCTACTACTTTTTTGTAAACTATTTGAAACTTGATAATCTATTTTGAAAAAAAATATTAAAAAAATGATGAAATGATGTATGGACCGGAGTAATACATAACAACAGCAACAACAGACCTAGAATAATCCCACAAGTAGGATTTAAAGAGGATATAATGTGTACGTAATCTTACCTGTATCTTGTAAAGATAGAGATACTGTTTTCGATAGACCCTCGGCGCAGAAGCCGGAGTAATACATAAGTTGGCAAATAATACGCCTGCATTGGCATTATTGTGACGCCTTTGGTGTTTATAAATTCAAATGATGAACTAATGGAGAGTTGGTCACTTGCCAATAATTACATTAAATTATAATTACCAACAATTATTATTTTGACAATTTTAGACAAAGATATGATAGTTTAGTATGATATATACTTTACCAAGTTATATCTGTAGCTATATTTTAATGGAACATCTTAGAGTAGAGCCCTCACCAAGTATTTTCTGCATGAGAGCAGCTAGGGAGGACTGTCCAAAAAAATTAAGTTGATTTAATTACCTCAAAATTAAAGGTACGACCGTATGAACTTATATATGCACTTATTCACGTTATCATAATTTATTTTAAGTTCGTTTGCTACTCAATTAACATGAGCATGACTACTTTGGAATACTCTATTCATTAATTTCAAAAACATTAAAAGATAATTAACAAATATTTGTAATTAAGCAATGTAATTGGTTCTTTTTATAATATTAATTTCATTGTAAGAATAAAAGTAGTTTTAAGCAATTGACGAGAAAAAATGACCACTTGAGAACAACTCGTGCTCGCTATAATTGAATATCTTACATTTTATTTTTCATGCCCACCATATTTTTTAAAGTAAATCATTTTCAAAATTGGATCTCCTTTATCCTTTGTGTCAAAAATTCAAATTTTAATTACCACAAGGGGGCGTTACAGGATTGTTGGGATTCCTCCACATAGATGTCCGGTTCGAACTCCGGAATGAAGAGATTTTTGGTTGGGACTTGGGAGCGTTTTACCTCACGATGAACCTACTCGACACGAATCTGAATTAGTTACACCAGAGAAAACCAATGATTTGATTATTAATTGCAAGAAGTGTCTAAGTAGTGTCCATAGTTACTTGTTATAGGATTTATGATTTCAAAAATAGAATCATTGGGAATAGGTGACTTGCCAATAATTGAGTTTAAGTAATACTTAAGAACCATTTGTTTATAGGTTTATATATGTGAATAATTTCATAGTTTAAGAGTTTCAGTAAACTAGTGTAGTGTTGGGTGTGGCATCCCCTTAAACTGTTTAGGTTAATCTTAGTGGGTGTTTGGACATAAGAATTGTAAAATTCAAAAATAAAGTGAAAAAAAATTTAAGTGAAAATTATATTTGAAAATTAGAGTTGTGTTTGGACATAAATATAATTTTGGGCTGTTTTTGAAGTTTTATGAGTGATCTGAGTGAATTTTGAAAAACAGTTTTTTGGAGTTTTTTAAATTTTCGAAAAATTCCACATTTTCAAGCGAAAATTAAAAATTTTATGGCCAAACATTGATTTCGGAAAAAACGAAATTTTTTCGAAAAAAGTTAAAAAAATTCTTATGTCTAAACGGGCTCTTAGTCTGTAACGATTTTTCCGTAAACTGCTTTAATCACTTTCAATAAATGAACCTTATTTAGCGGAAAGAATAACTTGGCAAGGAGAATCTTCTCCTGTGTCACCGTCTCACCGATATAAGGTTACAATGATGTGGAAATAACTTACTAGAATTAACCTAAATAGTCGCCAGTGCAACCGCTTAAGTCAAAAATAGTCGATGTATGTATAATATAAGTATACTCCATGTATAATTTGTATAAGATATATATTAATTAATCTATAATTAAAAAAAAAAATCTATATATACTGGGTAGGAAAAGTAACAGTAAATCCGATCGACTACTTGTGTAAAGATAGCAAACCTGTCGAGCTAAGCAATGCATTTATCATCCATTTTGACTCCACTAAAGAGATTTCTAATTTTTGGATGGTTGCGATGATTAATATTGTAAGAATTATTATGTAGTGATAAATAATGAATAAATTGTTATGCAAAAATTACATAATTTAAAAGTATTTTTATCTTTAAATACTTTAATACTTGTATTGCTAATACAACATAACTTAATGGGGATATTATTTAATACCATCAACCAAATGTTGCATAAGATTATACAGATATTTTTTTAGAGCCATTCAAATGCTGCATAGATTATGCAATGACTAATCTCTATGCAAAATACATACTTATAACCAGATGCAAAGAAATCACCTAATGTTCTTGTCTTCGCTTGGATTTGAACCTGAAACGTCATGATTCTCGACCAATGTTATACTAACTGAAAGACATCTTTACAACGTGTAAACCAACTGAAAAATGCTAGTTAGCAATACTTTACACCTCAAAGTACTAATAATGCTAATTGCAAAAGCTTGATTTCTTCAGTCTCTAATATAATCAATTTGAAATCTAATCCCCAAAAGTGTTGAATTGCAAAGGTATCAGAAGATAAGGCATTGATGCATTATTTACAATGTGTATAATTGATGCAAAGCTTCTGTTATGACTAATATTACAACTTAACAGATGACATAATCATTAGCTACCAAGTCCAAAACTTTTTCACACTAGCAATCAGCTTTATTGTCAAATATAATCAGAAATATGGTATGCTTAACCAACAGATCCTTCAAGTTTCAAGCTCATTAGTTGATTCACCTCAGCTCCAAATTCATCAGGAAGTTCGTTGAAAACGTCCCTACAAAACCCTGAAATCATCGCAGCCATCGCTTTCTCGTAGTCAATTCCCCTCTGCTGGAAATAAAACAACTGATCTTCACCAATCTTTGACGTGGTCGCTTCGTGTTCGATGCGGGCAGTTGGGTTTTTGCTCTGTTCAAATGATGATAACATCAGTAGAAGCAATAGTGCAAAGCAGAATTTATGCTTACCTCATACTCAAAACTGAGAACAGAGAGAAGTGAAATTTCGGTTCAAAATTAGAGCAGGAAGTTACATTAGTTAACATTCAGAAGGATCTTCTCCAGAAATGCTTGATCTAGCTACATCTAACGTCAAGTTCTAAATGTACTAGCAATGATCATTGGCAATGTCTTTTGATCCATGCTTAAAGATCTCTAGACATATTACAACAACACATCTAATCATCGCCATGCACTTGAAATGAAGACACCAAGAAACACTCAAGCAGAATTGGCACTCTTTCTTCTACTCACATCGACTCCACAAGCAATCCAGCAAAAATAACTATGCAACCCAAGACTGATTAGGTATGAGAAACATTCTCCGAAAGCTAAGAGGAACAAACGACTCTATGCATCTTGCAAACATAAATAACATCCTCGGATAAGCCAATATACAACAACAACAACAACCCAGTGAATTCCCACAAGTGGGGTCTGGGGAAGGTGGTCTGTACACAGACCTTACTCCTACCCCGGAGAGACGGATAAGCCAGTACAGCTTGAGGAAATTAAATTCCAGGCATTATAAGTATAAATGAACTATCAAAAGCCTAATAAAACCTCGCTCCCAAGGGTGTGGACCAGTGATCAATGAAGTGGGTTGAGAACCATGAGGTTTCAGGTTCAAATCTCAGCGGAGGCAAAAAATACTATGTGATTTCTTCCCATCTGTTCAAGCCTTAGTAGACAGAGTTACCTGGTACATGTTGCTAGTGGGAGGTAGCAGGTAAGTCGTGGAATTAGTCAAGGTGTGAGCAAGCTGGCCCGGACACCACGGTTATAAAAAAAGCCTAATAAGACCTCGAGTCCAATCAGGAACTTCTAAGCTGCCTGCCTCAGCAGCTTGTGTAACTTCTTTTTACAGATTGTTTTTAAAAGAGGAAATAGCAATAGTCCCTCTGAACCATTTCTCCCCTTTTTTCTTCATCTTGTGGATGATTTCTAACTTCATAAGGAAGAATTTTCTTTCTCCTTTAATTCTAGATCTCGAAAGAAGAGGTCTTGGACGTTAGCTGGTGAAATAAAAAAACTGTTTATTCTATGAAAAAGGTCACATAAAAACTTAAATGCACCAGCATCATGCATAACAAACATCACCATAAAACAGCTAAAAGGATTACAGTGTGATTGAGTAATTTATAAGTAGCAACCCTAGCATGTTGTGGCAACAAAAACAAAAATGAAACAAGACTTATTGTTTTTGATAAGGAAAACAAGACTTATTGTTATCAAGCTAAGACAGAGATGACGAAATTAAAGTTCCCAAAGAACAAACTACCTGAATGTACGGGTAAGTGTTAGCAGCAGCAGTATCACCAATGAGCATTGAATCACACTGCGAGGAGTTCTTGGCATTTTCTGCATTGGACAACACCTGAACTAGTCCTCGATAACAGTTCCTAGAATGTCCTGCAGAAATACCCTTTGAAATTATCCTGCTCCTCGTATTCTTCCCTTTGTGTATCATCTTTGTCCCCGTATCCGCCTGCTGATAATTATTGGTCAATGCCACAGAATAGAATTCACCAACTGATTCATCACCTTCTAGCACAACACTCGGATACTTCCAAGTAATAGCTGACCCTGTCTCCACTTGCGTCCACGAAATCTTCGACCTAGGTCCAGCGCAAAGTCCCCTCTTTGTAACAAAATTATAAATACCTCCTTTACCTTCCTCATCTCCCGCATACCAATTCTGCACAGTGGAATACTTAATCTCCGCACCTTCATCACAATACAACTCCACCACAGCAGCATGTAACTGATTAGTATCATATGCAGGCGCGGTACACCCTTCTAAATACTCCACAAAACTTCCTTCCTCCGCAATTATAACAGTCCTCTCAAACTGTCCAGTTTCCATAGCATTTATTCTAAAATAAGTCGATATCTGCATCGGACACCTAGTGTGTTTGGGTATATACACAAAAGATCCATCACTAAACACAGCGGAATTAAGAGCCGCGTAAAAATTATCTTCAGGGGGCACAACTCTCCCCAAATACTTCTTAACTAAATCGGGATACTCCCTAATCGCCTCAGATATCGAACAAAAAATCACACCAGATTTCTCTAAAGTCTTCCTATGTGTAGTAGCAATAGAAACACTATCAAGAACAGCATCAACAGCGACATTAGCCAAACGATTCCTTTCGTTTAAAGGCACACCCAACTTATCAAAGTACTTAATAAGCTCAGGGTCAGCTTCATCTAGACTATTCAAAGTTGGTTTCTTTTTAGGTTCTGAATAATAAACAATATCTTGAAAATTAATTTCTGGGTACCTATTATCAGACCAATTAGGCTCTTTCATTTTAATAAATTTCTCATAAGATTTCAACCTGAACTCAAGCATCCAACTAGGCTCATTTTTTCTCAAAGATATCAACTTTACAGTTTCCTCAGAAAGCCCTTTTGGTAGTGCAAAAGATTCAATGTTTTCATTAAAACCCCATTTATAGTCTCTTTTCAAGAATTTCTGAAGTGGGTCAATTTCATTTGTTGAAAAGGAGGAGTCTTTACCTGGGGTTTCAAGAGTGGTGTTGGCCAATTCTGCAGCTTTGACCTTCAGATTTCTTGAATTAGGGTTTCTGGGGGTAGCTGATTTTTGAAAAAATTGACACCCTTTTGGTAATTTAGGTTGTTCAGTGATTTGTTGGGGAGATAAACAGGAGATTCCATTGGTAACAAGAGAAGCCATAATTACGGCCTTTGGAAGGTGTTGGAAGAGAGAAAGAAGCTTAGATTGAAGTATTGAACAAACAATCAAAAACTACAACTTTTAATTTTGTTATTTTTGGAATATTTTGCAGGTTAGTGTTGTTTTATTTATTTCTGTGGTGCTTATTTATAGAGGGTCTTGTGCTGACCACATGCCTTCTTTTTCGGCCATGAAATTTTTGGATTTTTCCTATAAAATATATCCACTTAGGTCAGTTAGGGGTTAGGACTAAATATAGAGTAGAGCTGCCAAATAATTGTATGGATAGTAAATTTTGCACAAATTTGGACTAGAGTGAAATTTATTGAAGTGCCAGTGAGTAACTTAAAGACTAATAGATTACTCTTTTGATTCATAATAAGTAATTTTTTAATTTTTTTTTATTTTAGTTTAAAATAAGTATTTTTTTTACAAGAATAAATTAACTTTAATTTTCAAATTTATTTTTATTTACATGTCTCAAGTTAATAATATACAAATTTTAATTAAGGATAATTTAGTCAAAATATTTATTTATTTTCTAGGAGTTGTGTTTTATTAAGAGATATGCCAAAGGCAAAAATTCACTTATTGTGGACAGGAGAAGTATAATTTTGGGTTAAGTAAAATGACATATTTGTTGGCATAGTTGCAATAAATCTATACATACATCTATATAAAGCAAGGACCATAAGTGCTGATGTGGCACTCTCATTTGCCAAGTTTTCTTTTTATCTATTTTCTTAGAATTTTGCCTTTTTCTTCTTAACCCTTTAAAAAAATGTTGAACACTCCTCTATTTTTTTTTAAAAACAATCATCTATTTTAAAAAGAATATGTCGAACAGTCATCTATGTTTAAAAGGTTAGTACACTCAATAAATAGCCGCCTCTCGTTTACGGCTTCTCATTTGTTTTTTTATCCCTCACATCACTATTTTCGATTTTTTCGTTGATATTGTACACGCCATATTCGTGAATTTGGGTAACATCCTCCGAATCGCCTAAAATTTTATGGGTCCATCAGAAACGACCTAATGAACACTAGTCATTACTTCACCATAATTTTTCCTTATTTTTTAGTATTTTAGGGCCATAAAACAGGAATTCATGGTATTTTAGGGCCATAAAACAGAAATTCAGGATGATTTCCAATATTTCGTTTTCTAGTGTCCGTCATTTTCATGAATTCGGGCAACGTACTCTAAATCGCCTCAATTTTTATGGACCATAAGAAACGATTTAATGGAAATAGGAATCTCATTTTTCTGGAATCGCCAAATTTTTGTATCCAAATGTCTATGCCATCTTCGTGAATTTGGGAGACGGGCTCCGAATCGCTAAAACTTTTGTGGCTTCATCAGAAACGATCTAATGAACATAGTCATTGCTTCACCATGACTGTTTCTCATTTTTTGGTATTTTAGGGCCATAAAATAGGAATTCAGGACGATTTTTAATTTCCCGTATGTTAATGTCGACGTCATCTTTATGAATTCCAGGACGGGCTCCCAATCACTTAAAATTTTGTGGGCCCATTAGAAACGATCTAAGAGGAATTTTCAGAAACCACTATAGTTTGTTTAGAGCTTAGTAACTATATAGTTTGTCTAATTATCATTCGTAGTTATTGTTTAATTGTTACTAACTTGTATAAATTATATTCAAACGCGCAATGAATACAACTTGTGTCCTCCAGATGCAGCCTGTGTCAACTGTATTCGTTCGTGCAATAAATACAACGTGTATCAACTGTATTCGTTCTTGCAATTGTATTCATTCGTGTGACGAATACAAGGCGAAATACAAGGACGATGCAACATGCATCGACCGTATTTATTCGCAATACGAATACAACTAAGATGAAATACATAAATACAAAAAATAAAATATTTTTGTTGAGAGTCGAACCCAAGACCTACGCTGACTAAGCGGACGCTCTAACGAACTAAGCTATGAGAGCTTGTTGCTCTCTTGTTTTAGTGCAAAATAATTAATCTCTTATTTTATAGATTTGCTATAAAATTCAAATATAGCTACGAATGGTAAATTTGCTGAAAGTATAGCTACGAATGGTAAATACAGTGTAAATATTTGATGTATAGCATAATTTTCCCAATGAACAATAGTCATTGCTTTGCCATGACCGTTCTTCATGTTTTTGGCGTTTTAGGGCCACAAAACAGGAATTCAAGATGATTTCCTATTTTTCATGTTCTAATGTCCGCGCCATCTTCGTGAATTCGGACGACGATCTCTAAATTGCCTAAAATTTTGTGGGCCCATCAGAAATGACCTAATTGACAATGGCCACCGCTTCACCATGATTGTTCCTCGTTTTTTGGCGTTTTAGGCCCATAAAACAGGAATTCAGGACGATTTCCAATTTTATCTGTGCTAATGTCCACGTCATCTTCATGAATTCGGGTGACGGGCTCCAAATCACCTAAAAGTTTGTGGGGCCATCCGAAACGACCTAATGAACAATAGGCATGACTTCGCCACGAGTGTTTCTAATTTTTTAACGTTTTAGGGTCATAAAATAGGAATTTATATAACATTCCCTATGATGATATTACCAATAATGATACTACTAATAAAATGATAGAATAATACAAGAAAGAAGTTACAGCCAAGCCCCTCCTTTAATCTTCAGAATTGTTCAACCTGTAGCACCTTGACTTCTTCTACAACTATCTTCAGAAAAAGTAGTTACCTAAAAACATAAGGTTTAATTTTAGGTCATTCAATTTTTATATTAATGCACCAAAATCGTTAAAATACTTTTGTAACCAAACAGTTACTCAATTTTACCTAAGTACAATAGAAAATATCGTCATTGTTTTGCCCTACTGAACTCTTGTGGTTATTAGTCAAGATTATATGACTTTTTCGTTACAAAAAATAGTCCGTGACTTTCCCGAAACTTAGATAAAATTTTGAGTAATTTTTTTGTTAAAAAATATATTTTAACAACTTTAGTACATAAAATAAAAGTTGAGTTATCATAAATGAAATTACCCTTAAAAAAACCAGGGAGAAAATAGATTCATTTAGGAAAACAAGATCTTTTCGATCTGCAGTTGAAGTTTGATCAGTATCAATTCTTGTGGAGCATAGAAGCAGGTAATTTCTTAATTTAATATTTCTCATACATGCACGTGAAAAACACGTCAGATCTGCTGCAATTGTCTATGTGCACATGATTTTTTTCTTCTGTTTTTTCTCATATCAACATCTTATATTGATTCTTTTTTTATATCTTCTGTTTCAAGATCTAAGAAATTATTGTCTAGAAATTGATACCTATGGCGTGTTGATAAGTAGGAAATTAATATGCTAATGATGATTATGAAAATGTAGAAGAAATTGTTTAACAACGATAGAAGACTAAGGACCAACACCTTTTGGATTTTCGGATGGATGCTCTAATGACTTCGAGCATAAGTGGATCTAGGATTTAAACATCATTATCAGTTCGAGTTCCGGGTTCTATGATATCACATTTGATTTAATGGGTTCACAATCTATTATTTATATTTATTTAGTAAATTTCTAACATATATAGAATTTGAGTCAAATCTATTGGATTTGGAACCTCATCCAGGCATAAAATCATTAAAATAAAGCCTAAAATAGTCCCTTAAGTTTGAGACTTCACTCAAATAGTTTCTAAAGTATAGGATAGAGTATTGATAGTCCTCCGAGTTTTTAAAATGGCGTACATTATGTTTAAGTTAACCTAATGGAATACATTAAAGGGCAGCCTAGTGCACGAAACATTCCGCTTTCGTCCACCCCTAATGGAATACATTATGGAGTATATATCAAATCAAAAGGAAAAGGATAAATCATCTTCTAAGTTTGAGACTTCACTTCAAATGATTCCTAAATAGATCATTCTTTTAAGTAAAGCACCACAGTACTTTGAGAGACAATTTTGGACCTTTTTAGTCTGCAAAAGTAAGAAATTTATAGGTTTGCTTTTCTTAATGTACATCTAAACAAGAGCAAATTAATGGAACTTGTACTTGAAAGAGATAATTTAGTTAGTTTGAAATTTTAAGATGTTTAGGAAGTAATAAACAAAGGATTGAAATCTCACTTCCTATAGGTATTTTGTCACAGTTTTGTCTAAATCTTTTATCCTAGTCCATGTGTTTGTAACACTAGTAAAGGGCAGCCTGGTGCACTAAGCTACCATTATGCACGGGGTACGGGGAAGAGCCGGACCACAAGGGTCTTTTGTACGCAGCCTTGCACTGCATTTCTACAAGAGGTTGTTTCCACGGCTCAAACCCGTGATCTCCTGGTCAACATGGCAGCAACTTTACAAATATTTTTCCTTCTATCACATGCAGTGTGAAGTACCTGAAAACAAGACTAAGGTTAGGATTTGCAGCAAGTTACACATAATGAATGATCATAATAAACAAGATCACCTCACTGCTCCAACAATTCTTCCAGTAAAGCGAAGGCGTGGTCGTCCTCCAAAAGATGGAGGTCTTGCTAAAAGAGTAATGCTGCAAACTCCAAGAACACCAGCAACTGAAAACAGTAACAAAATTCAACAACATGCTGAAATGAGCCAAAAAGATAGCACTAGTGAAAACATGCTGGGGCAAATAGTTTCTGGTGTTATTGATGGTTGTTTTGATGCAGGCTATTTCCTTTCTATAAAAATTGGTAACAGTGCCAACACATTCCGCGGATTAGTCTTTGTGCCGGGGCGATTTTCTCCCATTACAGCAGCAAATGACATTGCCCCACAAGTTAAAATGTATCATAGAAGTCAAGGTATAAACCTTCAAAATCAAGACATTGGTATTGATAAGCCTAATCATCTTAAGAAGCAGTTGAATGTGTATATAGGACAAGATTTACCTTCTGAGCCAATGCCAAATGCTACATTAGTACCGACTAATCAACATGCTAATCCAGATCAAACACTCAAAACTCAATCCCAATCTATACCTATATTGGAAAACCTTAGAATGGTTGAACAGGATGAGGTAATGCAAGTATTTGAAGTCGTGAATCAATCAGAAAGTCCCAAGTTAAATGCAGAACAAGGTAAATTTGTAGTTTCAGAATCCATATTGGAACCAAAAGCTAGTGAGGAAAC